TATACACACACACACACATACATATATATATACATACATACATACATACGATACACAATACTTATTCAAAAACTTTAATAATTTTTTATTCCTCATAAAAAGTATATTTTATGAAAATTACTTTCCTTGGCAAGACATCATAACATTATGACAACTTGTTTTGTTGTTTTGATTTTTATTTGTAATTTTTGTCTTTTCGGTTTGCAGATGTCATATTAAGTCACTGTTTATTAACAAACTCAATAGAAATGTAATAACAAATTTTTTTAGATTTTAAATTCACAGACTAAATCCTAATATAATTTTGATTAATTTTTTGTTAGGTGAAAATAGAAGAAATTCTAGCCTCAGCAGAAATGAGGAACATGAACATACCAGAGGGGCCTGATGGGCTGCATGGGCTTGTCCTTGGATGGTAACAGGCTGGGAACGTTGCATCTCACCCATCGTTACAGAATTGTTACCCACTAGATAAAAACAAAAGTTAATTGGTCATCAATGACACTGCGTGATATCTAAATGGTTTTTTTTTTAATGCTTTTTCTGGAAGTTTTTATCTAATGCCAGTGAAGATAATACCTTATTTTGGTTTTTACACAAGTTGCTTAGAGTTTTCTCTATATTTTTCCATTTCTAGTTCCTATCTTGTTGCATGTATCTCCTAACTTTTACTACACATACATTAAGCCTAAGGTTATGAGAAGGTGCCACCTGCCACCAGAATGAGTTTTAAAAAAACATATTGATACACCAGATGTGCTCATCACTGTTTGTTCGGTTTGATTCTTGGCAATTCATATATGTTTCTATTCAGTACGTAGTTGCAGTGGAGACACTTCTAACCCTACTTTCACTATCTTGCAACGTGCACACTTCCTTAAAGATGATGGCGACTGCAATGGCGCACCTATCAGTGTGACAAGCTTTCAAACAGGACTGTGTCCTCTTACTCTTTCTACACTTTTTGACTATATATAATTAACAATAGTTATTATATTACTATTAAATTGCGAACTGAAGTGAAACAGTCCTCTGAAATTTTTTAATTGAACCTTACCTGAGCCCCCAGTTCTCATGACACCAGGCATGGCAACTGACCCAGTAACACCATGACCCACACTAGTAGAGTGATGGTGCATGTAGGTGGCTTTAGCAGGGGACACACTGTCCTCCAGTAAAGTTGCTTCTTCATCTCCTTCCATGCCTAAACGGTCTTTCCCTTTTTGCTGTGATAAAGAAACCATACGTAAATATTACAGAGATAACATACTCTTTAGAAATAAATATGATCTACATAAACTAAAGCCGGGTTTAGACCATTAAATTTTAATCAACAAAAACATGTGACATGCCTAAATATTGTCATGATGACATCACAACATGACCATATATAGGCACATCATGACTATATATGGGAACATCATGACCATATATAGCCACATCATGACTATATATGGGCATACAACAGTTTTTTGTCTAAGAAAATTTTATAGTGTGAACAGAGCTTTAATGAATCTTCGAAAACAATGTTATTGATTACCTTTTTCAGAATGATGTCAATGTACCCAGCAATGAGAGCTCCAATAGCTTCGCCCTCTGTTGTTTGGACTGAGTAGTAACTATCAGAATAGTCTCCAAAATCCAGGGTAAAGCTTTTTGGAGATGCTGCCCAACGTTTTACAGTGGTCAGTGGCCAAGTTTTTAAAATCTGTTTAAAATAGAAAATATTGTTATATAATATTCATATTTTCATTGGCTGTGGGGACTATCTATGTTTAAATGTTAAATAGAGGAAAAAGAACTGTATGAGTATAGTCAAACTTTTGAGATATTCCAGCTTAAAAAAAAAACACTAAATACAAAAATCAAATTAAAAAATTTTAAATTCAAGTATAAAAGATCTCACCTCTTTGGTTCGTTCATCAACTCGTACAACACTTTCTTTAGTAATACCCATAAGACGTGGAACAAGTTTATTTTTTCCTCTCATTTTTTCCTGAAGAAAAAGACAAAAAAAAAACGTAATTATACTTACCATCCACCATTTAATTGGTTTTTGGTGGGTGCAAGAGATAACTTTATTTGGAAAACATGGGAATGTTTTCGAAATGAATAATTGTATTTTAATTTCCTAATATTTTTTAAAAATCACATACAATGTTGAACAGTTCTGGAGCAGCAGTAAGCCAGTGGTTGGCCTGTTAGTCAAAATTTCATAGTAACTTTAAGAAATAGGGAAAAAACTTCTGCTATGATTCCTAAATGAGTTATTATTAAGTTATTATTAAGGATTATTGAATTCCCCATTCCCTGAAATACTGGCTACAATCATATATATCCAAATTTACCTTAACAAGGAAAAACGTGATGCCATATGTCTTTAATGAGCGGCAAAGTTGGGTATACCTCACTTTCGAGTCCAATTCACTCACGCCATGTAAATTACGGTGCTCCTGTAAAATGAGAAAATTTACAAGTTTTTAAGCTACAGAAAATCAAAGCATTGTCTTAACATTAATGAAGAGATAATCCAGAATGTCTACAGTGCTAATTTGCCCCATCCACAGGAAATTTTTTGTTACATGAACCAAAAGCAACAATGCAATATTCCAGTTCAGTTGGCAAGGATCTGCTTCCAAGGACACAGACAAACTCAGACTCGACCCCTGACCTTTCACCTAAAAGCACAGAAGCTTACTATTGATTTTGTATGACCTGACAAAATATCTAGCGCTCACCTGAAAAATCTTCTTCTCCACTCCTTTAACTTTAACATATTCTCTGGGCATGAATTCCTTTAAACTGAAAGGACAGTTAAAGCAAGTTAAGTTAACATAGAATATAAATATAATGTTTAGTGTTGCCTAATGCCCTCTCCAGAATATGAAATTTTATTTGACAAAAATATGCGACATGCCTAAATATAGTCATGATGTCATCACTTCATGACCATATATAGGCACATGACCATATATGGTCATACAACAGTTTTTTTGTCAAAGAATATTTGGTAATCTGGATAGGTAGATTAGGTTAGTAGGGCATCAGAACAATATTGTAGGCCTTAAAATCAATACATATTTATTTAGTATTATTTTCATTACAAATTAATAATTAAATTAATAATCTATTTGATAAACAATGTGTTTCAGCTAAAACACTAGACAATATTTAATATCTGAATTGCTTAAACCGTACAGGGATTTTATTTTTCACTAGCTTCCCTATCCCCAGGAAGACACTAATTTGTTACAGAGACCTGTATGTTTTGCAGCTCATGTTAAAAAGCGCTCAAGCAAACCTGTTTACTTTGAAACTACATAGAATATTTTGTTGCTATGCCAAGCTCAACACACATGATGAGCATTACCAACCTTGCTATGGCATTTTTATTCTTATAACTTTTCATTTATCTACTCTCCTTCATTCACTATTCCAGTTTCAATAATATAAAATCAACAAAAACTGACGATGTCCCAGAAACATGTTTGTTACAAACCCAGATAATACCACTTACTCTAAGAATCCAGGCTTGTGTTTATGATCCAAGTGATCGCCATATTGAATCTGGCACATCGTACCAGCGAGTTGCGTGGCTTCCTCAAACGAACACGGATGTGTACCATTCAAAATGGCATCTCGTGACTGCAAATAAAAAAGAACACAATTTCAAGAAGATGAAAAACACAAGAATAAGTGGTCAGTAACATTTACTAATAATTCATGTTTTTTTTTTACAAGTGTACATAGAGTGTTATATTTTGCTATCTAACTTTAGGGGTCAAGTTTTTTTTTTCCACTCCCCAGACTTATATTGAGAGTACTTTCCATAGAAATTAGTCCCTTATTATTAGATAAAAATTCAATTTGAAAAAAACTACAGAAGATATAGTTCATTGTTAACATCCTTTTGAAAGTGTGCAGGTAAATATAGGCCTAATTATTATCTCAAGTTTTCTCCTGATATTCTATCTAAAAAATCCCACTCATAACATTGTCCACACCGATGGTGATTTATTACTAACACATAAAGTTTACTGGTTGAAGAGGCACAACTGACTAAAAAATTGTCTCTGATTATCTCCATATATTTGGCTGTTTTGTGAGTCGTTCATATCCAGAACTGTCTATTTTTGACATTTCCTTCGATAGTCTATTCTTGTATGCCATTTCATTTTTCATCATTTCACTGTACCTTTTAAGACAGTCTTTGTCAAGCCTGATGATTATTGGTCTTCTAGCCCTAGTATAAATATATTTACGGGTATTTAGATTCCTGCCTTCCCACCCCACACACAACCCACACTTACCACCTCCAGATTTGTACACACAAATTTTTCCTAGAAAAACTTTTAAGTAACATACAACACAGAATTACACTTACCTGGACATAGAGCAAATTGAGCTGAACTGGATCACGTCTATCAACATTTTGATCCGAAAAGAAATACTTTCGTCTGAAGATGAGATGCTCTGTATCAGGAACACCTTGTTCACGTAATGTGCGTGTGTGATCCAACCACTCCACTGAAGAAATAGCAAGTTGAAAGTAGGACATAAATGTCTTGGTGTTAATGAATGCTTTTTACACTGCTAACCTTACCACCAATCACAATCATCCACTTCACTGACATAATTGTTATCATTACCATGATAACCATTATGATCATGGTAATTCACACAGTCATAACCACAATCACCGTCAACACCATCTAAATTAGGGGTGGGCATAAAAATGAGTTGGAGGCTTAAAGTCAATGTTTGATTCAACACTGAGTGAGGGCTACACGCTAGCTTTGGCATTTTACGACGTTTCCAATGTGCTTGTAAAAACTTCCATGCACTGTTTTATACAGCTTTCTACCAATTTTTACAGATGATTGGCATCGGTCTGTAACAAGAGTTTCTAGCTGAAGAGTGTAAGCAGGTCACACACTTAGGGTTTAATTTATTTTGGGAGCTGCAACAAAGTTGCTATATTTTCGCCACAAGTGATCTAAATCGTCATGATATTCACAATATTTATTGCCATCTATATCATCATCATCACTTCCATCGTCATTATACGAATCACCATCAACATTGCCACTACAAGAATCATCATTATCTTCACTGTCATTACCTTATCATCATCTTTCAACACCACTACAACCACAACCCCCACCATTATTCAATTCAATTCAATCTATATAGTCAAACACCGTAAAATATATGGTTTGAAGTTCCGGTTGTTTGTATACATGACCATATTAATATTTATTAAAATATTGCTTATGGTCATCTTACACTCATCATCTGTGTGGTGCTTCTTTCTCAGTTCTTGCATTCTGGTCTCATCTCTTTGTTGGAGTGCAGATTTCTTTTCCTATAAATAGAAAAAATTCACAAATATCTAAACATGTTTATCAAAATCAAAGGTCTTCAAATAAAACAAATCATACATACACTGCATAGTCATATAGTAATATTTGTAAATGAAAACACAAGCAACTATTGAGAACTAACAGTCACTATCTGTGACTGCTTCCTAAAACTGTACATGCGAAACGGACCATCGGAAGTGTCGACCAAAATTAACAACTGACATATCAGAACAGGGACAGGAATATCCTCTTCTACAACTTGGAGCTTAGTGGAAAGGCCTATGAAGTTTAGCCTTATAATGTTAACTCAATCCACACTATCTTATTTTATGCAGCAAATTTATATGATATGCCCATATATGGTATGATGATGTCATATTACATCCATAAATGGGAATATCACATTTTTTGTCAATAATATTTGATAGGTCGGCAGAGTGTTAAGGTTGAAGTTACTCTTATGTATTGGCGCAAGGTACTTTTTCCACATTTTCTTCAACAAGAATATAGAACATTTCCCTTTAATTTGTAAAGTTTTTTTACCATTTGGGTCTTAATTTTTTCCCCTCTCTGTAAAGGTAGGTGGCTATATCTTAAAGTTCTATAGTTAACTGACAGAACTTATAATGGCCTCCTTCCATGCTGCTTATATTTATAATGTATCAACTTTGCTCATGTTGCATGGAAAATAAATTGAACTTGAATTGCTTTCCACTGGTGTTATGTGCTAAAAAAAACATCATGTTGTTATAATGAAAATGTCTAACCTTTTTCAATGTTGACCTGTTGATGGTGGCGTCTTTCTTGACCTCTTCCTCCACAGTGTCTCGGCACAATGAATATTCATCATAATTTGTAATTCCTGTAGGAATATTTGGACAGTTATAATAGTGCTATAAACTATATAACAAAAAACTGACATACAGGTAAAATGTATTTTGGATAAGTAATTCCATTCCTTCACTTTTATTCAAAAAATTATCAAAGTCTATGCTTAAATACATATATTTTTTTAATTACAGTAATGGTAATAATGGTATGTATATAAAGGATAATTAAAAATAAATAATAACATCAATAATAGTTTTTCTGCCTAGTAAAAATAATAAAAGTATAAGTGGTATAAAAAAGTAATATTCTTATGTTTTGTTTATTTGTTGAAAGTTATGACATATGATTGAACTCGCATTATAAGACAGTAATGAGGGCAGGTTTCCACAAGACCATAATGTCATTAATATAGCCTAAGGTATGAAACGTGCAAGGTTAAACCTGTATGGTTTTGTGCTTACCTAATTTGGTGCTAATTGTGATCAACATCTGACTCACAGTATTGCTGTCATCAATCTGCCAAGAGAGAAAAGGAAAATATGGATGCCACATGAAATGGATTGGCACGGTTTCAATAAAGTGAAATTCTCATTCAATAAACATTGCAATTAAATAAATTCTTTAATCATACCTAGGACAACATAGAGTCTATTTCTTTACATATAAAGTGCATATGTTTGAAGTGTGCATGTCTGTTTGTGGGATAAGGGTAAAAAGGAGATATTGTTGCTAATTGGTACATATTCTGTAATGTTAATACTCTAATAGGATATTTCAATCAATGCAAATTTGACACCGTCCTTGTAATATACAAGCCAAATGCAAGTCAAATAATTGTGGGTATCACCACTCAAAACAAAATACAATTGGTAATGTTAGGATAACGTTTTGCCTATAAATTGAATGTTAATTATTTTAATATTGATAATCAGTTTAGGTACAAAATATTTATAAAAACAGTACATGAAGAGTCACCAGAATATTAAAACAGAAGAATATGTGCACAGCTTTCAGCAAAGCCAAAACAACCTGATTAAAAAAACGTTGGCAGCTACTGTATGTAATAAAAATAAACAAAGATGAATTAGTTGATAATTATCTTTTTTTCTCTCCTGTAAAAACATAAATAATAAGGGCATTCTTCCCATCAGCGTGACCTTATGAGGTGAATCATGGGAAGAATAACCTCAAATTGGGCTGAAGAATGAAATGTGATCTCATCATTTTTATTCTGGTACCGAAAGTTGATTGTTAAATATTACTAAGTAACCATGACAACTTGGCAGCCCTGGTGATCGATGCTAAGAATGTGAGAAATGTCTGGTAGAAAATTACATGAAAGATATGATAATAAGCATATGTCCTAGCTAGCTAGCTAGCAGTAAGGCTTTGGGCTAAATCAAGAGGTTCAGAGTTTGTGTCTAAATAGTTTGAGGCTATACAGTAATCACTTGTCTCTCTATCAACAAGTTAATAATAAGTTAATGGGTACTAGTTTGTAGTACTTTATTAGTGAATAGGTTTGCTAATATCTAAAGTAAAGTAAATTCGCTTTTTTCTATGATTGTATTTTTTTTTCTGGTTAGGTTTATTGTTTTTACTATAAAACTTTTCCAAGTTAATTTTGATGATGGCATGCTCTATTTTAATATCTTAATTTTTGGAATTTGTAAGTTTAGAAAAGTAGTTACAGTTTTGAAACTTTATTGTTTTTTTAAAAATTTTATCTAGAATTAGAATTTCTAGCATACAGAATGTATAAAATTAAAACACGTAACATAACATATAGAAATACAAACTATATTAAAATTTCGAAATAGTTTATCTTCGGGCAATCTTAATCTTTAAAAACGCCAAAAAATATATATTCTAGAATCATCTTTGATTTGATTGCATCACATTTTGCCTCTTTGCAATATGATCCTGATAACGATATATAAAAATATGTTTACACGTAGTACAGTAGAGTCAAACCCTACAAAGACATACTTATCATTAACAACTTTTCACAAGAAAAATTAAATCAAAAGAATTAATATTTGCACGGAAAACTACTTGCATGATAAGTTCTATAGAGAGCTCATTTAATTTGAGGATGATCCATTGTTGAGTCGGAGGTCATGACCTATAAAGAGCAAGGTTTAATCATTGATGCTTTTGCAATGGATCATGAGATGGTTGTAAATTCCCATTAACTTTGACTACTGTATATCTGCTGGATCAATATTGAGAGCACTTGTTAATTCTATAAAACCTATAATTGACCACAGTGCTGACCAGGAACCGACACTTACTCAACTGTCATCCTGAGTTCAGATGAATTAAAGACTGAAATCAAATCTACATGGATTTATGACAAAATTAACTTATTAACTGTAGATTTTCAAATTTATCTTGTGCTTTTATCACTTGATGGATGAAAAAATTATCATATGTTCTCCAATTATTTCCTCCAGAAAATACTTTTAAAAACAATTTCAACAATTATTAATGTTATCGTTTAATAAAATGTTGGAATAATAAGAATCATAATTTAATTAAATGTGATAAAAGTATGACCTCCTATGATACGTTGGAAGTGTCACCCTCAATGTAGTAAAAAATATGATAAATAAATTTAAAAAAAAATATTAGTAAATATTTTGCTTTTCACAATTTTTACAAGAGAGTATCAAAGGCCTTTTGACATTAAAGTAAATTCTCAAATAAGTGCTGCAGGGCTTATAAAATTTTTGACGGCTTCAGTACGGCGCCTGTTCAAGAGAAGCGCTTATTCGAGAGCAGCGCTCATCATTCTGACCATGTACCATTTATTTGCGTAACATTTAATAGTACTATTTAAGTTTAATTGCTATATAGATTTCTTAAAAAGAAACAAGGATTAAATAAGTCTAAGAAAGAAAATATTTGAAAAAAACTCGGGAAAGGTTAATGAGATACACATTTTTGAATATTTAAAAACTGGGGAAAATATGGAAAAAAGGTGGTTACACCCCTTTTTGAGTCTTCAAAAGAATCAGTTTTACAACATATCGAACAAAAATTTCCCTCCGGAGCCTGATTTAAAAAAAAAAAAGTACTGAGAATTGCTGTCAGCAGTGAAGCTCACGACTAAAATTTAATAGTTTTATACCTAATGAAAGGATAAAGTTCATGCTAAGTTTAATTCAAGCTGATTAAAATTTTCAAAATAATCAGGTTATTACATGCCTTGCATGTATACATGTGCGGTGTGTATGTACAGTTGACCTTCCCATTTACCAACTTCCCATTTACGAACTTCTCATTTATGAATGTTCGGCCAATGACATCATCGCTAGATTTATTCATCTAATTTTTGCTATTTTTATTTATTTTAAGATAAACGAATTACAAAGGTCATTTAAAAAAATCATTATAGTACTAGTTATACAGTACATTCCATAAATACATCATACTACTTTAGGCTTAGAAAAGTCAAACCAATACATGATGAAAAATAATCAAAACTAGCCAAAATTCAGGCAGGCAGTGCATGCTGCTAGGCCTACCTTGTCTAGGCTAAGGGCAAGGCTGGGCAGCCTATACCAAGGGGGGACCTGGTAGAACAAGAGGTGAGTCAATTCAAAATAACTGATATTGTCAACAAAATTACTGACTTGATATTAAAACTTGTTAAATATTGTGTGTGACAGTTGTTTATCAAAAATCTGTTGGATAAAGTTAGGTAAAAATTAGTTAATTATGTTAGAAAATTAGAACTATAACTCATGTTTGTCAATCATGTTTCAAATTTCTACAGCATGCCAGATTACCTCCTACTATATCAATTAAAATGGTTATTCAAATTAAAAGGATGCCAAAGATTCTAAGCCCTAAACTACCAATGAAGCTCTGTCCCTGAACACACATGACTAAAATTCAAGCTTCACTGACAGCACCACTTTAACTCAAATTATCGATGAAGTAAAATGTATTTGGACAGGCTCAGCTACAAATTTATGCAAACCTACATTTATCAACATTGGGAATAATTCATCTGGAAAATGAATGCATAATTATAAAATGTCCCAAACTATTTATAGAACATATGTATCATACGAGATACTGTGACAAAATAACTGAATACCTCACTGTTTAATGGAGAAAAGGTCTCGCTGGGTAAAAAGGGGCATAAATACTTAATGGAAGATAGAATGAAGAACAAATCTAGACATTAAATAGATAACATCCACTTTAAAAAAGGAGGAGGAAAGTTTGATAATGGAAGAGCATATTCTAAATGAGTGTGATCGGAATTGCTATGACAGGAATCTGAACTGAATACCTCACTATTTAATTGAAAAAAGCTGTCTCGCTGGTTGAGGGGGCATGGATTCTTAATGGAAGATAAAATGAAGCAAAAAGGGGGAGGAGAGTTTGGTAATGGAAGAGCATACTTTGAATAAGTGTGATCGGAATTGCTATGACAGGATGATGGATTAGGACTGTTACCATAAAATTGTTGAAGGTTTTTTCCTTGTATTGAGTGAAAGGATGTAAAGAAAAAAAAATGACAAACTGTCCATAATTTTTAATGAAAGCGAGAAAGATTTAAACAAGTATAGATGCAAGAGATGATATGTTTGCTAAAATATTTCTTTCCAACTATTTGAGGTTTGCCATTCCAAAACCAGCGTACTGTCGCTATAATGATAAACCAAGAATATTAGCATTTTGAATGTAGCAGTATTGTACACTTTAGTACAGAGAGGTCATATAATAATTTTACTCATAACTTTGGCAATAATACCTTGATTCCAGTAAATGACCCATCATTTTAAAGTTCACACATTAAAAAGTCAATTTTCATTTTTTAATTACTAATGGTATTTTTGGGAAGGCAAGCCTCATTTGACTTCTGTCCAAACTACTTAAGATCATCAACAAATTTTATGATCACCCAAATTATACGCAATAATTATTATTAATTTATTAAATGAGTTGAATTTATACATTTTTGACTTACCAATACTGTCTTAACAGATCCGTCTAATAGGTTGACCCTCAGAGGTCGAATCTTCTTTCTATATTCTAAAGTGTCCTGAGAAATAATAAAACAAAGAATATATTAATATATGTAATTTCTCTATTATAATTTTTGGGATTTTTTTCACTCAAAATATGTAAATCATATGAGTTCAGTCATCATTTGGCATGTAAATAGTACAGAATACTCAAAGAGATTACAGTAATCCAAAAGGTCTTGAACTACTGTCACAACTACTATCAATGGTGACATTTCCATCCATTCAAAGAGTGTTTGTCTGCTTTCAAAGACTCTTCATTTTAATTTCATCATTTTCAATTTGTGTATGCTTTAAAAGTTATCATTCAGCCTTCTACATTACATTGCATGCTAGCATATAGAGACAGGCCTGGAAAAAAATGTTTGTGCCTCATGAAATTGTCTCTCGAGAAAATGCCTCCAGTACCAAATGTTATCTGTAAAATATATAGCCCAACAGTCTTTTTTTTAAATATTTTTCCCCCAAAAATGCCTCCGGGACATTCATGATGCCTCCAACTGCCAGTCTCACACTAACAACACCATCAATTCCTTAAAAAGTATTGAGATCTTGAGTGCTCACCAGAAAGTTTACTCATAACACTATAGACCTATTAGAGGGCAGTGTTCCATGTTGATATTTTAAAAAATGAGAAAATGATTGATGGAAATATTCAATGAGCAACTTACTCCTTGCCGCAAAAGATAATGCTCAAGGGTTTTCCCGGACTCAAGCCACACGCCTTTTAATGGATCATCATCCGCCAAGAAGAGACCATATTCATTTACTGTGCCAAGAAAAAAAACCAAATAATTTTAATAAACAACAAAATTTGATTCAACTCATTCATTATCAATAACATTAACTTCCAATGAAACACTTTAAAACAATTCAATTTTTCTGAATTGTTACTATAACAATCTAATTGGTTACCAGCCAATGTTCACAGGTCTATGCAAAATAATATAGGAACGGTACTTATTTAAGTATCTATAAATTGGCATGTAAAATATATTTAATTCCAAATTGCAATTGAAAATTAATATCTTAAATACATTTATCCACAGTGTTTCTCCACTGAGGAGTAGACGGTAAGTGCATACACTGGTAAGATTAGAATGCCAAACGCTTATTACAGTTGCTACATTATGGGTAAATAGCCCAAAGAGCTGAGTATGTGTTCTATATGTGTTTAATCCAATGACTGGGTTAACAATGTGATGTATGTACAGAAAGACACTTAGCATGATGTGCTATGTAAGATTACCATTATTATCTCTGTGAGAAGATATATATCCTCAGTTGTGTAAATTTGTTTGTGTGTGTGTCCCATTTTTGTGTCGTGTGTGTGTTCAAAATATCTCAAAAACAGCTGAACAGATCTAAATGAAAGTTACAGGGAGTGTTAGATATGACCCAAGAATAAGGTGATTAAATTTTGGTGACGATCCGGAGTAGGATATGAGGACCATTCGAAGGAAAACGTCTCAGACCAGATGTTTCAAACAAAAACCGTAGCCAGATACAATAACTGTATGATGAACATTCAAATTAGTGCAATTACCGTAAATGTGTACAGCGTTTTAACACGTGCAAACTTCACGTTTTTGGAAACTGATTGAGAATACTTTTAATGCATATTTATTTAAACATGTGATGGTAAAAACCAATATCCCATATTTCTTATTAATTTAACCATTTGCATAATATTTCCACTTCAACTCCAATTTTTTGTCATAAGATTAAAACGTTTCAGTGTGTTTAACTAAAAGTAGTAAGGAAGGAAGGTACACAACTAATACAATAAAAGGCTTTTGGCAATGTTAGCATTTTTTTTAAAAGTAGGTGGTGGTTTGAAAGTAGGTAGGTTGTCACATTTTTACAGTGTCAATAGCTGAAAATCAAATGTTTCAATACTATATGTTGCTTGGATTTTGTGTAACATGCGTAGTGTAAAGTAGGCCGACAGTGAATATTGGGCAAATTATTTTGGATTACAAAATCTGAAAATACCCACTCTAAAAGAGAGTCCCCAAAAACCCACACAAGAAGTGGAAATATTGCCCCTCTTTGAAATAAAGTGTGTTTGGGCAAGTTACTGTGTGTTTTTGAAGAGGAGTGGAGCGAAGTGAGTTGGGGTGGTAGTGGTGGTTGATGAAGTAAATTAAGAACGTATTTTGGAAGATTTATTTTATAGAAAGAAATTTGGGGTATTACCTTGTTGTCCATCTGTAAGTCCAGCTTCAGCATTTTTCTCACGAATCATTCGCAGGACATCGTACACAATTGCTCCAGGGTTAAACTGCATCGTCTTTGTGCTACCTGCATGCACTATGTTAATCTTGAGTGTGAGAGCCATGCCGAAAGATGAGTTGCACTCTCCACTCTAGCAAAACTGGAGGAATAGACATACACAGCTATCACAAAATCTTCAAATAAAAATGCTAAAATGTGCCTAATAAAAAAACAAAACAAACAAAACACCCTATAGAAACTAGATGCTGGAACCACTGTAATTGGACATGATGTAAACTAAGCATCATGATAATATTTTGCTCAAAAAAAACATCATCCATCTACTTATATTTATCTTACTTGATCACATGATTTTACTCATTTTAAGCGCTATTAATTAATAAATAACAACATCTGATCATAGCCACTTTTAAAAAAAACTACTGTTATCAATATCAAACTCCATCAGTGACTATGAATTCAAAATCTTCATTTGAATACTTTTGATATGCAGAAAACATTGACAAACAAAATATGCTGATTACAGTGAACTTTCTGTTAGTTTTGCTATGATAGAATGAATACTTGCTGAAATGCTATTATCTATAATATGTCCTTCCTATGAACTATTTTGATAAGCACAACATTAAACAAATGTTGTATTATGTTTGCCTCTGTTTTGCTATCATTCTTCACTTGATTATATCATTTTCTCTATTTGAACAGCAATCAAACTTGTCTTTCTGACTGGATTAAAAAGTAGACATAAAAATATATGCTCTTTGATCACACTCATTTTTAATCCCTCAATTGGACCCTGTGTAGTTTATAGTAATTAATTTAAATTTAATATAAAGTAATGAATGTAATGTACCTCAGTCGAATTTGATGTAGCGCACAGCACTAGGCTTAGTTGCCATGAACTCTAGTTTTATATTTATGTACATATTGTTTTTCTTTAACTCATTCATACAAGTTCAATTTCTTTTTTCATTTTGGTTTTCTTTTATCCTGTTTACTTTCAGTGACATACAGGGTTATGTCACTGAAAGTGTAATCACATGAAAGACGGAAATAAATAAACTATATGAAACTGTCTTAGAGTAACCTAGCAAAAGGGAGATAATATATAGATAGCATATAGATAATATAAGAGATAGCATATTTATACACATTATGTAAAATAGATAAATGAAGCTGTTTGATATGTTATAAAGTACAGTTTGTTCTTGTTCATAAATGTTGAAAATAACTTTATTAGAATATTATAAAGTGGATGAAAATGCATGCAATGTAAGCATGGTCATTTATGACATTGTTATTTAGTAGTGGGCCTAGCTGATTCGGCCTACAGTAGCTCACAGACTTCATGTATCTGAATTAACTGGTTTAGCCTAAACATTTGTAGTGCACCGGGTACATAACTCAACACTGCTGTATACTATACTAATACTACTGACTGTGATCCAATAACAGATAAACAAAACTGGCATTGTATTCCCAATAATATAGCCTTCATCACTGATTCCTTCATACATTCAAGATCATATCCTTGGTGCTTACAGTTAATATTTTATGAAAATTCTTTACAGTAGGTACAGTATTTAAATGAGAAGGTACTTTGCTATCTGCACAAAATCAGGCAAGAAATTATGTTTAATATGCGACAACAAAAAAAGATGGACACACAAGGACAAAGAGATTGTTATGAACGAATCAATTCACAAAGAGGAAGCACAGAGTGTACCAAAAACTGAAATAGATAGAAGTGAAAGCAATCAATAAGGCTTCCTGTTATATTGAACAATCAGTACTTTAAATAATACTTTTTACTGACATGAGTTAATGCTGGAAGCCAGTAGCCAGGGGTTTTGAGGGGTTCAAAAGAATCCCCCTTTTCCAGAAATGCCCTTTTAAATTAATATTAAAAATTTCCATTTACATGGGGAAGTTGTTGAAATTTAACTATTTGAAAGTTGGCATTTTTATTGCCAATTGTAGACATCTAAGGTGTTACACTGTATCTTTAAAATTAATCCCAGCCATGGTGGGCAATGCCACAACTCGCTATTGGGACAGTCCCATACAATTTTTCTAATGAGTCCACATTTTAAAAAATGGGTCCAATTATGTAATTTTATGCATAAAATGGGTCCACTTTTTGAAAAATGGGTCCAGATTTCTCATATTTAGCTTAAAATGGGTTAAATTTAAGAAAACCGGTCCAGATTTTTCATTATTTTTGCATAAAATGGGTTCACATTGTTTGAATTTACACGTAAACTGGGTCCACCCTGATATTGTAAAAAAAATAAATATAGGACTGTATTTCAAAGGGAATCATAAGCATTACAGTAGATAATAAAGATTATTATATAATGGAAAAGTCTCCACGACTATGGCAATCGAATTCACATATGTCGCTTGAGACTCATCATAATCTGTCAATTATATAAACAAAATTTGAATACTGAACTTTTTTTTTTTGTAATTTACATATATAGTAATAACATTGCAGATAATGAAATGTAAATGAAGTGTTCCGTTCTTGATCACGTGACCACTCTCCAAAGCACGCAAAAGAGCAATATTGGCCCTGATGAGATAATAAATATATGCACACTTGGTTTAATATGGACTTTAACAGGCCTACCAATGCTACAAATGTTTGAATGATAAACACAGGCATTGCTACATACAGTCCAAACTTCCTGTGTCTGAGGTGATTAGGTTGATCTTGTTATCAGTGGGCAAACCCACAGAGGAAGTTTGAAGGTGTACAATTACTTTTCAGACTGGTATTGTACAAGATAAGACCTCCAATGATGGCCAAGTAAAAGGGTTGCTTGTCTCCAGACTTGAAAAGCATAAAAAGTATTATTATCCTATCGTTTCTTCCTTGTCTGAAATACAGTATTTTAATTTATGAGATTTTAAAGAATTATTGAAATGGCCATTTTCCTATTTTAGTTAAAAAAACATCTATTTAAAGATTATTCCTGAACTGTTCCGCCTCTTTTAATGATTTTGTGAGATCAAGTGATAGGTGTGATGAGCGTGTTTAGTATGTTGTAGAGCCAAGACAAATACATTATTTTTAACACTTAAATAATTAAGTAAAATAATAAAATATTAAGTGTTGTTATTATTATTATTATTATTATTGTTATTATTACAGTATATGATCCATGTTCAGTATGTACTGTACTTATTTATAATTCATAGAATCCAGAATCTGAATACAGTAATCAGCCAGTCAAGTATTTTAGAACTTAATGAGTATTCAGTACGATAAAATGTCAGGTACAGTAGGGCAAAGCATCACTTCTATGATATTTTCCTGAAGCACACAGAAATATTTTATCTCTTTCATCATAGACATCAATGTGAAGGATATAAAATATACAACAAACGTAACCACAAACCGTACATGAAAACTCCTTGCTTGCTCCTTTCTTTTACAATCCACCTCCTGGAAGACAAAAAAAAAAACTCAGAATAAAATCTATCATGCATTGGTTTACACCAACATTGACACCAATGACATTATGCAAGTATAGCATTGCAGAAGCAACATTACAACCTTTGAATCGCTTGCAAGTGATTGTTTGAACTAAAATGAGGAAACCTTAATCATAAAATACCTCTTGGCCCAAAAAAAATATCCCCTTAATAGGGATGTCCCCTGAATAGGGGTATCCCTATACAAGGGACATTATTTGGCACACACAGAACGTGTCCGACCCTCCATCCCTGGGATGTCCCCATAATAGGGGTAGGCCGTAGTGTTAAAAGATACATTTCCTTTCGTTTCACAAAAAAGCTGTCCTCTTATACTGTAGGGATGTCTCTTGAATAGGAATGCCCCAATGAGTTCTACAGTACAGTACTGTACTTTCTGTCTGCACCTACAATACATTCACCATCTCTATATCATACCTACTGTAACAAAACTCTTTCAGTCAAAATCGCATATTTATTACTTATAGTAGGAAAGATCATTAAACAGTTTTCAAACAATAAAAATATATTATTATACAGTACTTAGTACTACAGGTATATTATTTGAATCACAATGGCGTGTCTTTATACTTTTTTTATCTTCCTTATTGTCGTCAATACTGTACAATACTTTTTTTCACCAAAAAGGTCTTGAGAATATATATAGGCCTACTGGTATTAAAACATATTTATTATTGGATGGTGTAAATCAGCGTTCCACAAACCTTTTAGACTGACGACCCAGTTAATAAATTCAGACCGTGGCTCGACCCGCTGACATCTTTCACGCACGAGTCGGAGAGTGGTATACCATGCTTACGTTGTGCGCCATGTGATGCGTTTCATTGTATTTTACTATAATTGTTTTGCAGCTAAAGTGTGCCTCATTAAATTGTAATTAATTATTAGTAAATCATTCTTTTATTGGGTCACGGCTAGTGTTAAATATTTGGGTCGTGGGATAAAAAGGTTGCGGAATGGGGCTTTAAATGATACTTTTCACTGTATCTTACTATAATTGTTTTGAAGCTAAATTGTGTCTCATTAAATTGTAATTAATTATTAATAAAATATTCTGTCATACCGTCTTTCATTGCATGATTGTGCTTGTACAATGTACTGTATGAGTAAGTATTTTAACATTGTGATTCTTGTGAGATGAGCACGTGGTTGTTTGACTAAAGATGGATTTATATCATGCCCACTTTCTCATCAAATCAGAGGAGGAGTACTATATCAATCGGAAAAGCAAGGTGGATCGATGGGCGGAGAATGATGTGAATGAACGAAATGTGGTCACGATAAAACCAAGAATGATAGCAAAGCAGACCAATAAAATTGAAACAGTTGTTAATTTTCATATTAAAACAATAATTATTAATTTACAAATTTGAATTAAATAAACATCATCTTCGAAAGAATAATAACACATATTAATTTTTTTTTAATTATCTGCTGATCAAAACTTGATAATAGGTAAAACTATCACCCGCAGGACACCATCCCGGTATTTCTGAGTCTAGATTTCGGGGTTGTGATTTCAGATTTATTTCAAATTTACTACACTTAACAATAACTATAATGGTGTAACTTACTCCCGCCGGACACCATCCCGGTATTTCTGAGTCTAGGTTTCGGGGGTTGGGATTTTAAGCTAGATCACTGAATTACACTCAAACGTTTGCATTTTCTAACAGAAATCGATGCCGGCCTTGTTTGTACTGTATCAAAACAAATGCAGAACTTGAAAGTTTATTGAAATTATAAACAGGAAGCTCTCGCACACATTAAAGTGGTTGTGAAAGGTATCAAAACGTTAGCTTTGCTGCCTATTTCTGGGTATTCTTTATGGAAAACAGTTTTCATGCTGCCATCAGCCACGATGTTAATCAACCTGAAAGGGTAACAAATCTATCAATCCTTTTGAAAATTTCTGCGGCAGTGGTTCTGCCGGGGAACTCATCGCATGTTAGAAAATCTTCATTTTCTCCTTTATCTCCTTACATAAACCAGAATCAGCACCTTGTTCTATACATCTGTCGATTCATCCAGCTAGACTACAAACTTTGGAATTGTTTTAATTTTGTCACTAAGCTGTACCTACTGTATATATCTTCTCCAATATTGAGTATCCTTCTTCTTTGGTATCAGTAGATAGAGGTATTTTTGCTATTTTTTCTGCTGCTTTTGATCCTAGCACCTCGGTGCACATGTGCTTAGCACATGGAAGAATAACCTCTTCTCTAAATAGTGAATGGTTTTTTTAGCTTTGGCAATTTCTTCCGCCACAAGGAAACTAGCCTTTTAGTAAGTGGCTTATCGGAAGTTGATGCTTTCAAATTACTTTTACTTCTATGCAATTATCGTGCTTTCTCTCAAAGAAAGACAAAGGGCTGGATGTTGCGATGTCAAATGCCTTTTTAACTGAAATGGCTTCATTGACTCGTTTGATCCCATCCACCCACAATTTACACACTGTGGCCTGTCTTCAAACCCCCATTCTAGGTATCCCTTCTTGTATTTTCTTGACATGCGAACTCACATGAACCCACTTGAACTCAATTGCCGCTGACCTAGATTGATTCGTTGGCGCACACGTCAAAACTCTGATTACGACGCGCAGCGCTGGGTAGCGCTGATGTCAAAACATCAAAGTGGACAACTTGGTGTGAAGATACCTGTATGCATGCTCAGATAACACATTTTCATCTAGTTTAGTCATGGTCTTAGTTGTGAGGTGACATTTCGAGGAGGTGCATCACAAAATACACCATATTTTGAGGTATCTTAAATACCGATACAGTCTCTCTACAAGTTAGGGCATACTCGCGACCCACCAACATTTTTTTCGAGCGACCCACTGGTGGGTCGCGAACCACAGTTTGCGGAACTAAAAAAAATCTATTGGGATTAAAGTTGTTCCTTGAATCTAGGGTAGAGTCTTGCACATTATATTAGTTAAGGCTACAGTACTTGTTTAAATTGGTTGATTTGGTTTTGTCTCCTTCAACCCACAAGTACAGTAATGGGTACGGTAGCTTCTAACAAATACCAATACTGCATATTGATTACTAGATAACATTGGAATACTCCTGATTATGTTGCATACGTGATTCAATGACTGGGAAAATAATGCAAAATAAATACAGGCCTTGGAAATGAAGAGCGCCATATAGACTGGCATAGTATGAATTATTAAATTTCTTCCATTTAATATAAACAAAAATTAATACTGTACATTCAATTACACAGAAACTGAAAAAAAGCAACACAAGGTCACCACAATATAAGATGTGGAGATATTGGTATTCCAGATGTTTGGAGCATCATATTAGTATATACAAATGCAATGTATTATTGAGAAATTCATTACTTATTTCATTATATTCAGTTCAAAGAAAAAAAAAAAAAACAATATATGAGAGAAATAGAGGGGAGGGGGGCACTTAGCACAGGGATGGACTTATCAGATGGAAGGTTCATACAACCTCAGCTCCAACATGGTCAAGACTTGTACTGAAAGTACAAAATGTTAAGGCTATGTTGATCACTAGCTTTTAATTACTAAATTTAAGACAGAATAAAAAATATATTGTAACAATAACAATTCAAGTATTGTAAATTGCTTATTTTGAATATAAGCAGACTACTATCATTCAATCACATCATTATTTCCTTCACCAATTTAAACAGACGTAAAGAAGCCCCAAAAAATGTCACTCCTTCCTGTATCTTTGATCCTTATTTGGGGTTATTGCAACAATAATTAAAAATGTATAGTATATACAGTATTACCTTTTATTCATCCTCCAACTTTTGTTTTCTCATAACTTATAAAACATAAAGCAGCTTGACTGCAATTATAGATTCTCTGCAGTAAAATTTAACTATTTATAAAGAATCTACCTAGGGAATACATTGCAATTTGAGTCGCAATAAATAATTTTTTAGATTTAAGTATTACTTCTTGGTACATTTTTTATATTTATATTTAAGCACATAGGTCTGCATTTAATATGCACTCTATACTGTAAGTCGACCATTACATTAAACATTATTATTATTAAATACCAACTTGAAACTAGATCCACCTTCTCATACATAAAATTCCTTACTGGCGGTAGAAATGATACAGTACCCTTCATTTCATTGAATTGAAATTCAGTAAAAAAAAAACAACATCAATTTACATTTGAGCGAAATAGAAGGGCCCTGGCCTAGGAAGGGACTTAGATGGCCGGATATGTGACACTCGAACTACATACAGTAAGAATCAGAATAAAAATTTAAAAATTGGGGGAATGGGGACAAGAGCCGGAGCCAGCTAGGCCCTTCCTTGAATCCGCCTATGATCGCAGATTTTGACAAATGATGTCTATATTTATTATACTGTATATGGGATGAAACCCAAGCTGTCCAATAAGAGCACCCTCAAGGGAGCATCTCATCATGTCAATGACTACTAGGTGGCTGGAAATGATGTTGACTAGGCTGCCCATATATGATCATTCAGCATACTTGTGCAGTCAATGTTAGGTGTAGTATTACACATCAATAAAATATACTTCAAAACCACTGGGCTGACTCAGGAGAAGCATATTTAATGGACAATAAAAACATCCTCCTTATAGTTATACCTTACTATTTGTAATCATTTTTGCACAAAGATGAATTTTTATGGACAGTACAGTAGATAGAAAATAATTCATGCATTTCTCACGATACTGTTAGTGTAACGCAAACTTCATGTTGAATATTCACTATATATTTAAATAAGAAAATAAATAATAATAAATGATAACAGTTTTATTTATTCACAAAGACTAATTTCAGTTTTTTTTTACAAAGATTGGTCTGCCTAAATTAAGGTTGTGTCCTGTAAATAACAGATTTTCCCCTTAAAATTACGCATTTTATTTTCCAAGGTCATTAGTTCAATACAGGCAGTATTTAGGTCTATGTTTAGTTACT